CAATAATACTTCTGACTGCAGTTCAATTACTCACTATCTACCCACACACACATTACATTCCCCTCTTTTATATACCAGCCTACCCTATCTAGCAAATACTAGAGCATTCGCCAAAATACATGATAGTTCTAGAAACGTTGCGTCACAGTAGTCATGTGACTCGCTGACGCAACAATACTAAAACTTAAATTAAAAACTTGAATATTTAATCGAAGCACAAGAGCAACCGTTTTTTATATTTATATTTTATATTTATCCAAACAAGATAGAGTGCATTGGTTTTCTTCGATTAATTTTTATATTTTGATTTTCATACATTACTTAGGTTTTCTAATTTCTTTGTGTTTTCTAGTACGACAAAGACCCGCTCCATAAAAGGATCTATCAAAAGATGGTCGAACAAGAAAGTCAGTCTTTCTTGCCGCTATCGAAGCTGGTTTCAGATAAAGTTCTTGATCTCGTAAAACAAGAACAGTTTGCTGTTGTTTGTGATACCCTAGCGATAAAATCTGCCATAGCTGCCAGATACAGCAGAGGAGGAGAATGTGGCTTTTACATTGCCAAACAAAAGTTTCATCGATATATTCTGGTGATGACTTTACGAAAAGGACTGCCGAAAAGCCTAAGCTCCAAAGTAAATCGATGGTAAGCTTGGGGTTTAGAATAATTTTAAATGATTTTATTTGTATCGAGGTATTTCACAAACAATTGGCTTTTCCAATAAGTGTTACCATACATCGAGTGAGGAACATAAAACTGGCCACTCCAGAAAAATCTTAAGAGTGAAAACCCTCACATTAGCTTTTCCAATATGTGTTACCATACACCGAGAGAGGAACATATATCGAGGCAGTTATGAATCCTCGAAGGGATTATAGATTGTTATTATGAACCCTAAAGAGGTTTTAATGGGCATTATGAGCCCTTAAAGAGATTATTAGATTGTTATTATGAACCCTTAAAGAGGTTATATTGGGCATTATGAGTCCTTAAAGAGATTATTAGATTGTTATTATGAACCCTTAAAGAAGTTATAATGGGCATTATGAACCCTTAAAGAGATTATTAGATTGTTATTATGAACCCTTAAAGACGCTATAGATTGTTATTATGAACCCTTAAGACGCTATAGATTGTTATTATGAGCCCTTAAAGGGATTATAGATGGTCATTATGAGCCCTT